ACATCCATGGCAACAACCACCTTCGAGCTCCATATCGACGTCCATGGCAGCAGCACCAACAACTCTCCACCACCTTCTCCTTCACGTCCAAACGGACCCATGGCTGCTGTGTTGCTCCATCTTCTGCCTCATCCAAGCTCCTACAATGGCGAACCCTTCACCATTTTCTTCGAGCTCGAGTGCGAGCTCTCATGGTCGTTGCTTCATCTCCTCCACACGAATAGTAGCTCCGCCAACAACCATCCCATGCTCGCCGCTGCTATCTCCTACTTCCTCGACGAAAACGACCAGCTGCCTCGACTGCTTCTGCTTCTGTTTCTGCTACGTTGCTGCTGCCATAGCCCGTTCATCAGCTGCTTGGGGCAGCGATGCTGCTGCTTTGTCAAGCAGCTGGACTTAATACCAGCTCGTCGCTGCTTCACCTCCAGCTGCCTCGACTCCTTCTGCTTCACCTCATTGCCACCGTCTTCAACCAAACGCCCTCCTGTGTCGTCGCGGCTACTCACAAAACCAAGATCTTTCTGCTGCTTCCGCGATGTCCAACCATGTCCATCACGTCTAAACCCAAACCCCATTGCTTCTGCTGTGTTGTTGCTGCTTCGTCAAGCATTTGATTCGAAACAAACCCCGTTCCTGCTCGCCAAGATATTTGCCGGGCAGATTCGAGTTATGTCGGTTTCAAGGTTTTCGTGTAGATTATTTTTCATCAAGTTCTTCGTGGTTTCGATCCGGTTAGTAGGTTCAATTTTCACTTTTGTCCGTATTTTGTTTTTGATATTCTCGAATCTAAAATTGGTAAATGTTTGATTTTTGTTTTGTTCGTGTTCATTGTTTTGTTAATTTTTCAGTTTGGTCATGCGAAATTGTTAGTTTAATGTCGTTAGATTCAAATTGGAGTTTAATTAATTATTTCTTCAGTTTGTTTCATGTGTTATGTATTTTTTTCAGAAATTATTAATGTTGGTTAAATCATTTGAATCCGTCTTGTTTGTTGTTTAATATAGATTTGATTCGTGTTCATTTTGTTTGAAGTTCGTTTTTAATTCAGTGATTTAATGTGAAGTTATGTTTTGGTTTTTAATTTTTTGATTCAATGTATCTTTGTTATAATTTTGTTGGATTTAATTTAAAAAGATCAATTGATTATTTGAAGTTTAGTGATTTGAATATGTTTATTTGTTTTGTTTAAGCTTAATTCGAGTTTAATTCGAATTTGAATAAAACTTGCTTGTTATTGTTGTTGAATCTTTTCATTTATGTCCATACTTTGTTTGATTGTTCTTGAATCCGAAATTAGTATAAGTTTGATCTTCTTGTTTGTTGATTATCATTTTTGATTATTTCTTCAGTTTGTTTCATGATCTTGTTTAGTTTTAATATAGAAATTGTTGGTTGTAATGTTGTTAGATTTAATTTTAAGTTCAAATGATTATTGAATTTAGAAATCTAAATATACTTGTTTGTTGTTGTTGTTGTTGAATCTAAAAGTAGGTTTGTTTGTTGTTAAAAAATATTGTTCAATCAAAATAATTCTGATTGTTGATTTGTTGTTCATCGTTTAAGTTTGAATTTGTTGATTGAACTGGATTAGAGATTGGTTATAGCTGGTAATTTAATTTTAGGTTCTTAGATAATTTTGAAGTTTGAACAGATTTTGAATCAGGACGTAACAGTAGTTTTAGGGATAAAACGGGAATTAACCAATTACGGATTATTTAATTATGGTGGGGGACAAGACATAATAATAAAAGCAAAAAGGAAAAGGTTGATAATGATGTTTTCTTTTCAAAAAGAGAGAACATGGAGGCCCACATTGACTAAAAAGTTAAAGGGTGCACATAGTAAAAGAATATTGGGTTAATAAAGTAAAAGAGGTAAAAGGGATAATAATAATGGTTTTAAAAAAAAGTAAAAAGGAATGGGGTAAAAAAGAAAAAGAAAGAGTCTTGTTTTTGGGTATAAAAGGAGGACTCATTTGACACTTAAAAGAGGAGAAAAAAGGGAGAGAACATTTTGGGGAGAACATTTTTTTTGAGAGAGGAATACATTCTGAAAAATCTCAAGAGTGTTTGAGAGTTGAAAAGGAGAAAACAAAAACAAAGGGAGAAACGAGTTTAGTTTCGGGTTTAATACATGCGTGGTTTGTTGCTGTTTAGTTTTTTTACAAACTTTTGGGTTTGCTCTATTGAGCTTGTCTGGTTTTCTTCAAAGTTTTCTAGGTCTTGAATCTGGTTCGGATTGTTGCCGTGGGTTTGCTGTTGCGTTGCTGGGTTACTACTGCTGCTGACTCTCTTTCTTTTCTTCTTGTACTGCCATTTCCAGGTATACATTTGTACACTCTCGGCTTGAAGCAAAAATGAAGTATTAACCAGGCTTTGTTCATGTTGAATTCCTCCTGTTTAGATTTGTGCTTAAATAGAATTTTCCTTTCTTTGTGTAAAAATGTGGTTGACTGATTAATGAGTAATGAGGTTGCATATGTATAACTCCTTCATCTAATAATGTTAGTTTAAGTTAATCAAAGAATAGTTAATTTGTTTTGATATTATTGGGTGTCAATCTCACGTTCTAGTGTTATTAAATAATAGAATATAGAACGAAAGCAATCTTTCTTTGTACAAGCTCGATTGCAATTCTCCATTCGCATTATTCGTAAATTAATAACTAATAAGTTACGTCCTTTTTAGCATGTAATTAATTGGGAGATTTTCTTTTATTTTAGAGATGAACTTAATAGAAAAAATGTAGTCATTGTAGGTTTAGCCTTTTAAATAAAAAATGAGACGAGCCTCGCCAAATACAACGCACAGATTGCGGGGCCCTCACAAAAATGTATGTGTTAATTACTTAGAACTCAGGATAGGCCGCTTAGCGAACTCCACGGCCTTACCCAAAATAACAACACGCTAGTTTCTTTAGGACGCGTCTTAATTAATCTTACTTTTTTAAACTCGGGTGCACATTTATGTGACCCAAATCCAAATCTTAGCAGAGTCGAAATGTGTCTCTGATCACGGGTACATTGATTGTGACGTGGTTCGAGATGCGTGTCCATGACGTTGCAAATTCCTTTTAAAAAATAAGAATGAGATGAGCTTCGCCGAATAAAAATACAAAATTGCGAGGCCCTCAGTAAATATTTGCTTTAAAATCGCTTAGACTTCGGGATGGACCGTTTAGCAAAATTTCACAGCCCTACCCAAAGTAAATGATACGCTAGTCGCTTTTAGGCGCGCCTTTAATAATTTAATTTTCTTAAACTCAGGTACACATTTATATGACCCAAATCCAAATCTCAACGGAGTGGAAATGTGCCAACAACCACGGGTGTATTGATGTGACGTGGTTCGAGATGTATTTCCATGATGTTGCAATTCTTGATAAAAAAATAATAATAATATGACAAAAGCGGTTAAAAGTTAAAACTTGCGCATGAGTTCATAATTGTGTTAAATCAGATAAACAAGCCGAATATGACAGTTGAGCGACCGTGCTAGAACCACGGAACTCGNGGACCTCAACCAAAAATACCAATACATCTATAATATTATTCAAACTTGTTCCAATTATCAAAACACCTCGACTAATACCAAAATTATCGAATTACACCGAATTCAAGTCTAAGTTCCTTTAAAACTTCCAAAACGCGCTTTCGATCAAAACTCGACCAAAATATGTCCGAATGACTTGAAATTTTGCACACAAATCGAAAATGGCATAACTAAGCTACAGAAATTCTCGGAACTCCATTCTGACCGTCGGATCAAAATTTCACCTATCAACCGGAAATCGCCAAAATACTAACTTCGCCAAAATGAGCTAATTTCTTCACCGGACCTCCAAAATTAATTCCGATTGCGCTCCTAGGCCTTAAATCATCCCCCGAAACTAACTGAATCATCGGAATTCAATTCTGAGCCCTCTAACTCACAAGTCAACGTCCGGTTGACTTTTCTAAACTAATTCTTCCTTAAAGAGACTAATTGTCCCATTTCATACCAAACTCGATCCGAATTGACTCAAATTCACCAAGTACACATATTGAAACATGAATAAGCATTTAACGGGGAATACGGGACGAAAATACTGGAAACGACGGTTCGGGTCGTTGAAGAGAAGGTTAACTATTGCTTTAAGCTTCATGGCACGATCTAGAGTAGAAAGAGATGAGACAATCCTAGATGTCTTGGTAGTTAACCGTTTATATGAGTGACCGGCACACACATATAAAGGAAACTCCACTGGACACAGCTTCATAGACTCCCTAGGACTCTTGAACCTAGTGCTTTGATACCAAGCTTTGTCACGCCCCGAACCTGGTCTTGTACGTAACACGGCACTCGGTACCTGACTACATGTGACTGAGCGAACCAACTGGCTGGCTGAATCAACATGTGATATCATAACATACTGAATGAGGAAGATAAACTAACACATGCTGATATACTGAAAGTCTGAATGATATAAATCAAAGTACGAAAATACTAATACAATTTCTGAAACGTATTTGTAGCAAATATAGCTTAACATGAAAAACTTGAGACTCTGTCTAACTGTTATTGTAGTCTATGAAGCCCCTATTGAAGTATTGAAAACACTAACTATCTGCAAATACTAAAAGGCTGTAAAGTAATGATAATGCCCCAAAAGAACTGGGGATCACCAAACAGCTGATACGAGAGCCCTATCACTCTGAATCGTCAACCTATAAATCATTACCTGCATTGTGAGATGCAGGCCCAGGGCAAAATGGACGTCAGTACATTTGAATTGCACTGGTATGTAAAGCAATTGAAAGAAAGAATTATAAATGTTGAAACTGAAACTAAGCTGATAACTAAGAATTGATAATTGATAACTGAAATGATAACTATTGAAACTGAAACTGAGATGATAACTGATGACTGATAACGGATAACTGAACTGATAACTGGTAACTGAAATGATAATTGATAGCTAATAACTGAAATGTTAAATGATAATTGATAACTGATAATTGAACTGAACAAAGGAAGTAAGGTTATGAATACTCTTNTATATGCACAACTGTGGCCTCGGGCCCAAGTATACGTACACATAACTGCTGCCTCAGGCACAAAGATGCATAAAGCATTAACTGCAGCATCAGGCCCAAAGATGCATAAGCATTAATTGCGGCCTCAGGCCCAAATATAGATGTTCGACATTCAGGGATTTAAAATTAGGAATTGAGAATCATACTGCAATACATAATAGTGAAATACTGAATTACGCTGAGTTACATGATACTAAATATTGGATCACACTGAGTTACATAATACTGGAATACTGAATCATGCTGAGTTACATAATACTGGAATACTGAATAGGACTAGAATGAGACATGTATTCTTGAACTGATTATGAACACTGAAACTTCAACTGTTTATGATATGTTGAGTAAGCTATACTGAGACTTAGGGACATCGAACCCAAGTCTATATTGAATATGAACTGAGCTCACAACGTTCAGAATAAAAGTCATGAACGAGTTATGAAGCTAGAGAATAGAAGCTCTACAACTATTCAAGGAAATAGGCTTAACTATATTTCTGAGGCAATCGATACGTCGTAAAAGAAACGTAGTGTAGGGAGACTCATTAACATTCCCAAACATAGAGAGTTAGTCTCACATACCTTAACTTTCTGCTCTTGAGCATAATACAACATTCGCCAACCCCTTCAACTTCAATCTATATCAATACAAGTCAAAGGGATTCCGTATTAGCAATAATACTCATGTTTTGGTCACTTAGGCATTTTCTCAAACACTTGGTGGCAAAAAGCTTCATAGTCCTTATTAATGGTGTCTCTACACCCAATAACCCATTCTCTTGCACCTAGATAAATTCTAAAGTCTCAAATAGTTATAATCAACATTATTCTTTATCACCCATAAGGTAAACAACACCCTTAACCAATAATCAACAATCAGCAAGCCAAACCTATAATTGTTCATGTTTTTCTATCAAACCCATCAACTCATATCTCATGAACTTGAGTCAATAATCATTAATCCAATGCTAGAATCAATTAGAGGGTGAAGACATTACCTTTTTGACGTTCAATCTTCTTGAATTCAAGTTCTATGGTTTCTTCTCTCAACAATGATGTCCCAAACGAATATCTAATGATATGGAGGGTTTACCCATGTTAATAAAATATTGGGATATTGAAATTAACTTAGAATCACTATTAGAACTTACCTTGGGTGGTGGAAGGACCCTTAGGGAGTTAGGTTTTTGAGAGTTCTCCTTTCTAGAGCAAGTTTTTATGTTTTGGGGTTGTGGGTGACGAAATATATCTTTAAAACGACCCCCACTAGCGCGCCCACACATCTGGAGGCCTGCCCATGCTACTGACCGCGCTAAATGGCAGTAGCACTGCCTCAAAATTAGCGCGGTCACGCTAAGGGCGTGCTACCGGCGCGCATATCACATATTGTTCTATAAAACGTGCATAACTTTTTGCACAGAGATTCGTTCGGGCTCCATAATATATCGCTGGAAAGCTAGTCAAAGGCTACAACTTTCATGCTTTGAGTTTTCCCAAATTCCTTACTCATTTTCACTAAAACCTGCTGGAATACGAACCTTCTGCAAACTTAGTCGATTTTGTCAAATCTTATGCACCTCACTTTCCATCTTGATTTTGAAATAACTATTTTTACCCATAATCATTCCGATGGGACTTTACATGCTCAAAATATAACCTTACTACTCCTTTAACTCATTCATACCTAAGCCGAATTTACGGGGTGTTACAGGAGAATTGTTGGCCAAGGACCATATTCTTCTTGTATTGATGAATATTTATGAAAAGTAATACTCCTATAGTATTACAAGAAGGCATATACAGTTGGAACTTGGAAGTTAGAAGGTGCCGGGTAAATAGTTTAGGCCCCATGGGTAAGAGTAGTAAATAGTTTGGGTCTAGGCATTAAAGGTTAAATAGTTTAGAATTAATGGGTATAAAGTGACATTTTCTCAATTGAATAAGCTATAATTCAAATAGGGGCATTTGCATCTATACCCGCTTTTTGTGCCATGTTTTAACTTGTGCCCGCTTTGCAAAAAAATTGCAAGCATACCCGCTTTTTCACATCACTTCAGCATACGGGGCTGAAGTAGTAAAGACAATCACGCAAAACTTCAGCATTCTAGTAGTCGGCCTAAAGTTCATCTCTAGAGCTGAAGTTTTTTTGTTTTGTAATTGTCGAACTACAACTCTAGAGCTGAAGTTTCTGTTTGTAACTGGCGAACTTCAGCTCTAGAGCTGAAGTTTCTGTTTGTAACTGGCGAACTTCAGCTCTAGAGTTGAAGTTTTTGTTTTGTAACTGTCGAACTACAGCTCTAGAGCTGAAGTTTTTGT